AGATTCTGAAGATTTTGTGGTTGGTGTTATTTTTAAGAATTCTCTTTCTTTTAAAAATGTTCTCTGATCCATTGTCATTACGAATAACTTTAGAGTAAAAATCCAATTTTGTAACAAACTTCTAGTTATATTCACACATTCATATATTGATACATATATAGATACACTTAGAGAGTGTGAGCTTTAGTTACAATAAAAGGTCAATATATTGAAGTGAGAAAATTCAATGGTACTCACTTATGCTCTTTAATAAAGTAGGTAACAAAGTGACATCTTTATCTTGGGTAACATAGTAGATTAAAATGTTCGGAAGAATCTTGACATCTCTCCAAAAAACAACAAACATATATTAGAAAATATGTATGACTTATGAATACCTTGCATGAAGTTATGGAAGTCATAAGAGGAAGTTGAAGTGTGCAAAATATGTGATAAAAACTGTCTAAATTTTACTACAACTATCTATATTATTTTTTTCCTATTTATGTTTGCCTAAGTACTTTATGTGGAATTGTAGGATACATGTATTTATGAGGGTTGTAAAGATGCATCAAAAGATATTGAAGTGAAATAAAAGTAAGCTGATTCAGACCTTAAGCCACCTTGCCACAATGCCTGAACTTGAGTGGAGGGTAAGCACCACCTTTGGGCGTGCCTGTACGAGTTCAGCGTGTGTGGACCACTTTGGAAGTGCATGTACCATTCTAGCCCCTAGCAAACAGAGCACCAGACTTATATGCAGCTTATATGCACCCCCAAACTAATGCCTTGGAACCACACTAGGCATGTACGTGCTACTTCTTGGACACACTCACCTCAGACCTCGTGTATGGGTATCATCTTTAGGGCGCTTAAGCACACCCTTCAACCAGAGACACCATTTCTTCTACCGTCAAGGCACTGCCTCTGAGATCCATGAGAGATGTAGACACATAGAGCACAACACTTTAGCATTGTAAGGAAGATCTTTGACTCCATGCAAACTAACTTAGGAATTTATAACAATTTTTTTCACTACCAATCTTTGGTTTACAAAAGGAATAATTTCAAATAAAGAAGAGCACTGATCCTCCACTGCAGGAGAAAGTTCGATCCTTGGGACACAGAGAGGAAGAAGGAAAGATTGGTGGGATTAGCTGGAGAACAAATGTAACTGATAACATCCTTCGTTGGAATAATCTAAGAAGAGTTTGAGAGATTGTGAGAGATCTTTTAGGAGAAAACAACTGTAAGTATGTCTTATGTGCTCAAAGTGTTGGGATATTATTGTAATTACATGTAATTTATTGAAGAACCTAAGTGGAATCGTTCTAGTTGTTTGTTTATGGCCTTTTATTAGGCAACATGCAGCTTCTGGAGTTATATGGAACTTCCAGAAAGGTCCCAGTGCCTCTAAACCCTAATAGCAGCACACTTGTACCTTTCTAGTCTGGCATGGTCTTACTAGGCCTAAGGCCTGACTATGCCCAAGCGTAGCCATGCCCCGTCCTGGGCATGGCATCCCCCCCCAATCTTAAATCACTATTTCTGTGGCCTTTGTCCACAGATTCACATCTCAACCATCCATTCATTTGGACTGCTGAAAGCATCCGACAACCGTCGACTGTTCCATAAACCATCAATGTAATCTGAACCTTCAATCTCTTGTCTTATTGATGGCCCAGCACCGCCACCGACGCTAATAAAAGGCAATTTTTCATCGTTGTCATGGGGACGTGTATGCTTTGCTTAGTGCGCTTGCTCGGAAGAGGGTGAAGCAATCCAGTTGTGAAGGAGTTAAGTATAGAGTGCTTCGAACCAGTTTTTTGGTCTCTTCTCAGCTGCCACTTTGTAGCTCTCTCCTCTTTTCTTTTCTTTTTTAAGTGTTTTAATCTAAGTAGTTGTGTTAAAATTCTATTTTATGTTAATTTGGTAGCCTTGGATTAGACTTGGGTTTAGGTTCGAATCAGGTTGGCCATCGACATACACCCCGTGCTATCGGAGCGTTGGGAAGCCTCTTGTTCTTTGTTTAGTCACTCGTCAGTCTGACTGTTGGGAATGGGTGGATTCTAAAGAGTTACCATGTGGGATCAAGCTCCTCGAGACTCTCCCTCTAGGAGCGGCGATTGAATGTTCCTCTGAGTTATGGCAACATGGAGGGCCTCAAGCCAATTCATTATTTGCACTCGCATCGACTGAATCTCCTCTTGAATGTCTCAACACACTGTTTCTCTATTGAATTCCATGGATGTTGCGTCTATCTGAGTGGTTTCTCCATTGTGGTTAGCTCCGCTTCTCGTCTAAGTGCAGGTCCACGTTCACCGCACCACCTTTCAGAATATTGGATCATAAATTGTCTTTCAGTAGATGCACACTTCGAGAGTTAGAGCTTGGAGAAGAAGGAAATGAGGGAGAGAGAGAGAGTAGAAGATGTCGGAAAGGTCAAAGTAGGGAAGACGGGAAAAAGTCTGTGGACCGGGGGCACTTTTATTCATCTGTTTGCCCCATATTTATTGGAGCATATTTGTACAATTACAGAATGGAGGAACCAGTTTGGAAACCATGTTTAATACATGTGATATGATAATTAAAATTAGATTTACAACATAATTGGAATGTGATCAGACAATAATTAATCTGCTTGCCGCATTTGGTTCGGTCGACCAAGGTAAACAACTACTTGGCGGTCGTCTCTGTCGAGGCATAATTGATTGGTCGCGATCAGCCGACCTTTTAGGGAGGTTCGACTTTTAGGATCATAGATAAGTCTGTCGATCGGATTCACCGATAATGGATGTCGGTGAAACAATCAGTCTGTTGATCTTCATATGACCGGTTCAGGTCAAGTTTCTTGAATTCGATGCCTCGATCATTGAGCCATTTTCTTTAGCTAATCGATTAGTTGGAGATTCATGCCGTTAATTTTGGTATGTACACATGCCACTCAAATCTTTAACAACACATCAAAATATCCACGATCACAACCTGTTTAAAAGTGAAATACACATTTTCATACATAAGTTTATGATACCAAAGTGTTATAAGTATAAATATCAAAATTTAGGTGTTAGATTTGTGTAAATGCATAAGAATTGTGTGGTATGTTTTTAAATTTCCCTCACATGATATTCGCCGTGACATACAATGCATCAAAGCCAGTTTCAACCATGACGTAACATTTTTTTTTAAACATTTTTTTTTTTTATTATTACACAAAAATAAAAGAATTTTATTAATATTTGCTGACACACACGATATTATATCATGTTTATCTATGTATATATAAATGTAACATTTTTTTTTATTACACAAAAATAAAAAAAATTTATTTATATTTTCCGACACACATGATATTATATCATGTTTATCTATGTATATATAAATGATTTTTTCATACTAAATATCAGTAATTTTCGATATATCATTTATTTTTAAGTATTTTTATTTTAAATCATGATAATATGTTAGTTATTATCAATTATGCAATGAAAAAAAGTCTTAATAATGGGTTGCTTGAATTCCATAATACTTAATTCGAGTAGAAATGTTATGTTAAATAAGAACTAACTATTAAAATAATCCTTATAGCTATTAAAGCATTTTACTTATTTTCATTTTAGAAGAGAAATAGTTGGCCTTTATATTAATGTTTTCTTACGAGAAAATAAATATTATAAAAGAATTATTATTATTGTGTGCTACTAAAATGTCGATGTTAGAAAAAATCTTAAGTTTTAGCTCAGCATAACTTTAATATAACACACACATAAATAGTGGTTTAAGAGGCGACCATAGTTTTTATGTTAAAAACTCGTGGGGAAAAAAACAACGGGACGTGGTGCAGTCAAAGTAATCCCGAAGAAAATAAACACTATCCTGATTTATTTTTCCTCAAAATTAGGGAAGAAGAGGTTATAAAATTATGTTGAAACCGGATTTTTTTGGACAAATATAACTATATATGAGTAGTTGGGACTGCAATAGCTATAATTGACGGCTACAACAACTGTAATTAACTGTAAGGGTTGTAATTGGTGGCTACAATAACCACAATTGGCACTATGTCAATGGTTAGATTATAACAACCATTGGTCATGATCAACAATTTCTAGATATCTCCGGCCTTACACTTCTCTTCAAGAGTTGCTATTTAGTTGTCAACTCAATTATGTCTTTCCTCTCACTTTCAAATAAAGAATAAAGGATTACTTATATTTTTTAGTGGGAATATTTCGGTGAATTTAGCAAGAATTTCAATACATTTTATGAGACAGTGTATATTGATTCACTCGATCATAAATCATTTTTTTCCACATTAAAGTAACTTAATGGCCTCAAAATTGAATGATGCTTGACTCGTTGAATTTCTCTCATTGAGATACTCAATTTGATTATAAGCATATCAAATTTTGATATTGTTTGACATTTCAATTGATGCACAAAAATCTTTAGCTATATTTTTAAGTATTTAATCAATGCTCGATCATTTGAACTCAAATGACACCACTTTTGGCATCGCTAAGTTCGTCCTTTGGAGACATTCATTTTGACAATAAATTTATTAAAATTGGATCCCAAACATAAATTTGAAACATTTCTTGCCAAAATATGTTGTGATTCGTGATTGATGATAAAAACTTTTTGATAACACTTCAATTACCATGTGTAAACATATGTATTTAACGGACAATGAAGTTGAATCTATGATTGACAAAAGGTAGTGAAGTTTTCATAACTCATTCATGAAAAAAGAATGAAAATTTAGAAAACAAGGTATTAGTAGTGTAATCAAACTGAACATCAAAAATCAGAGTAAACTAGCTTTATTTTGGAAAGAAATTAACTCTTTTTTAATTAACACCATAACATATTAGCATTAGTTAAATTATGAGGGAGCTTAATAATTATTTACATACAAACCACTCAATTTTTATGTATCTATGTAACAAACATCTATATTTCAATATCACAAGTTTAGGTGTTAGATGTGTGAGTTCATAAGAATTGAGTGGTATGTATGTAAATTCACAAATCAGATGAAAAGTTGACCCCAAACTTGCTCATGTCCTCTTCAGAGAGCACCAAACCAATCTCCAATCCTCCCTCCTCCTCCCTGCTCTCAGCCAGCGACATGGCCCCCGTCTCAACAATAGATGTAAGCTCTACCTTCACCGGCTTCCCCCACCCAAAATCAGCCTCGTAAACCCTCAGCTTCGGCGATCCATTAACCGACAACGGCCGGCTCTTCTTCACTTCCCCGGACCTATCAGCCACTGCAGTTAATACCTCACAAATATCCCTCCCCTGCAGCCAATCTATGCCCTTCCCAATCTCAATGGCCGCCAACTCTATCCCATTCCTTCCCACCAGATCTCCAAAACTCAACTCCGCCATAAAAAACCCCAAGCAGTTCCCAAAGTAATTGCTTGGGATGGGCGGACTCATCCTCGATCTCCAATCCGCAGAGCTTTCGAAACGCTGGTTGATGTCTCCGTCATATCCCCGAGCTTTCACGAGGCATCTCCATACATAAGCGCAGGTTACAACAAAAGCCGACAAGTGAAAAGATGTTGGTTTTGTCTCTTGTTCCGCCGCCTTCGCTAGCACACGCTCCTTCAGCCGCAAAATCTGATCTTTACCAAGAGTAAAAGTAGCAGAGACAAATTCATGATCGGAAACTGACATGCTATGCTGCTTCCTCAAATGCTCTTCGCAGCTCTCTTTGAACTGACGCACCTTCTCGAATAAATTCCGGCGAATTCCGCCGGTATCGATAATAATGGATCGATCGAGGAATGGAGGGGAGATGCCATCGAGGTTGGGTTCAGCACGGCGGCCCACGAGCGAATGAATCGCATTGACCCGGCTCCGTCGCACACGGCATGGTTTACTGCGAAGCCTATGCAGAGGCCTTGGTTCGGGAAAAACGTGATTTGAATCGAGATGGCCGGAAATTGGCCACCCGATGCGGACGACTTGGCTGGCTTGGGGACCAGAAGTTGGAGGTTTTTGAGGCTTCGTGGATGGTGGCCGGATATGTTGCAGAAGTCGTCGCCGGTGAATTCGGCGAGGGTGATGTTGACGGAATCTCCTTCGGTGTATACGATTTCGAATTGTTCGTCGGATTCAGGGGAGGGGCGGATGGATCCGGCTAAAGGGTAGTAGTGGCGGAGGGTGAGGGAGAGGGATTCAGTGAAGAGGGGGAGTTTGTGGTGTATGAAGTGGGAGATGGAATGAGGGAAGTGGTAGAAGAAGAGCCACTCTACCATGGGTGAGTTTTGGAGCCACATAATGTCGAGGAATGAGAGCGGCTGAGGAGGCTGCGATGGAAGCGACGGAGAGATTTGGATTTCGCGGAGGATTCTCACCGCAGCCATTGCAGAGACGGTTGGGTTTCCGCGCGGCTGTAGACTTTTGCTGAATTAAGCAGATTTATATGTTTCATCCTCATAACTTTCATCATTATCATCCCCCTTATTTCTTTTAAAAATGAAATACCTTCGGAATTCTCTCTGTCTCCGTCTTGTCGTGCTTGATGTTTTTGTTGGGGAGCGAGAGGCGAGGCCATACAAAAAAATTCGCATCTTTTTCCTGCCTCAAGATGCGGAATAACAACATCCGGAAGATTTAAGGAAATTTTACTTATCACGGTTTCTAAACATTCTTTATTAAAATTCGCGCCCCCAAAATATCGAATTTATGCATTGGGGTTAGAAGAGAAAAAGCGCGCGAAACTGTTTCATTCTCCCTTTGCCCTCGCCTTCGCCTTCACCTTCACCACTTTCATTCTCCTCTTTAACTATTCTTCTCCCTTTCCCAGAAGCTTCTCCTCTTCTGATCAATTCCGACACAGTGCTCGTTCCTTCCTCTCGGTCTCCTGCGCCGCGGGTGCCGCGCCGGTGCCGCCCCTCTCCCTCGCTGGCGGCCATCCCGCCGCTGGACCAAGCCCTCACCGGCGTCCTCCTGCAGCTCTCTCGTCCTGCTCGAACACCTCTGTTTCCCACAGAAGAGTTCCTTTCTTCTATTTGGTTTGAATACGGAGCTCCAGTCTTCCATGGCCAACAGCGTTGTTCGCGTTATAATCTCTTCTGTTCTCATCTTTGTTCGGTTGCAACTAAGTCTCGATTATTTCTCTTCTTAACAGTTGTCTTATAGTATTCTTCAGTTTGTCGCCTAGGTCGCTTTTGACTTTATCAAGTAAATTTGACATGTATAACAAATAAGGAGCTGAGAAGTATATCCTCGATTTAAAATTACCATTTTTACAACAAGCAAGATTTGAGTTATATTTTACTTAAAACTGTTATATGTCATATGCTCTGTTTTTTATTTAGAAAGATTTGTGAGTACTAAAATGCAAATAGTAGTAAAATTAGCGTTAACAATAACAGGAAGCAAAAACTTCAATCATGGCAAAGTACCTAGGGAAGTTGAAGACGGAGATCCGTCGCTTTTCTAGCTTAAGAATTGAACAAATCAGATCAATTATCTCCTCTCTCGAATCCACCATCTACGAGAGGGGCTACCAAAAAGACTCGAGTGACCCTCAATTGAAGAACCACTAGCAATGGAGATAATCCAGGAGGAGAAGAAAAGTTGGATGAGCTCGTACAACTAGTGCCTGAATAATGGGGAGATCGACAAAGAAGTCACCGATATTAGGAGATTCAAATATAAGGCTGCCCCGATACTTACTAATCAAAGGAAAACTCTTCAAAAAGTCGGCCACGTCCATATACTTAAAATGCATTGGGGAGGATGAGGTTGAAAACATACTCCAAGAAGTTCATGATGGGGAATACGGGAGTCATTCCTGAGCAAAGACGCTAGCTTATCGAATTCAACGACAAGGTTACTTCTGACTGAGCTTACTCACAAAGACATCAAAGAATATTCCCTTGAACAAACGGACAAGTGGAAGCCGTAAACAAAATCATCATAAATTCACAAAGGAAAAAGGTGAAAGGAGGGAAGGGCAAATGGGCAGAACGGATCCCTTTGTTACTCTGGGTGATACAAGCAACACCAGACACGTCCACCGCATAGACTTCTTTTATGCTGTTCCACGGAATGGAAGCTATGCTACTGGTCGAATAGAACAACCATAGCCAGATGGTATTCTTTGCCTTAACTTTCGATGAGGAAGATCTGGGAGAGTGAATTGAGGTGAACGACGAAGAAGTCAGACTAGCCCTAGATATGGCCGAGGAGGATAGAGGCAACACAACCCTCCGACAAGAAAATGTTAAGCGGAAGATGGCCAAATATTTCAACAAGCACGTAAGTGAAGAAAAGTTTTTCGACCTAGTGTTGAAGAAGGTCGTCTTTGCCGCTAGAGGGCAAGCTATTGAGAAGCTGAATCAAACCTGGAATGACCTTTACATCACCCATCATAGAATTGGACATGGAGCATACAAACTATAGACATTCACAATGAACGATGTCCCTCGAACTTGGACTGGTGACCATGTAAATAAATTATTCCATTTGAGATATCCCTGTTGGTAGAAGGAAAACTACCGTAATTGTTTTATATGACCATTCTTATCTTCTAAAATGTCAATATAATAAAGAGGCTTTTTTACATTCATGATATCTAAAGTTTAAGATGTCACATATTCAATATTGCTAACATTACTCTCTGAATGTTTTTATGCTAGGGGAATTGACGCCATCACGCTCAGGGAGCTGACACGATTACACTTGGGAAACAGGCTTTGTGAATGGAAAAAGGCTTATCAATCCATTCAAAGATGGTGAAGTGGGCTATAGAGTGTATCAAGATCTAGCAGCGACAAGCTCTGCGATAGGCGTGCAAACAATTATCATGTGCTTTATTTCAAAAGTTAGCACCCAACAGTGATAAGCTTCATGTAGGGTGTCTAGCTATCGCAAATGGCTTATGAGATATATCAACACCTGACAGCGACAAGTTTCGTAAGGGGTGTGCAAATGATCATCCTTTGCCCAACTTAAAACATTTGCACAAGACAACAATAAGCTCCGCGAGGGACGTAACTATCTCGAGTAGGACTGTAAACAAGCCGAGCTTGAGTGAGCTCAGGCTTGGCTAGTGTTCGGCTCATTCGAAATAGCTCGTGTTCGAAATCGGCTCGTGAAGGGTGTGTTCGTGTTTGACTCGATTTAAATATTCGTGTTTGTGTTCGGCTCGAAATTGGCTCGTTAAACTAAAATTAAGAAAAATAGATGTAAAGTGTGAGATTCGAACCTGGGTCAAATCTATATAAAATAAGATACTAACAACATTGCCACATGAGTTGTTATGATTTAAACTTAGACATAAATATATACAATATATTATTATATAAATAATATATGTAATATATTGTTATATAAAAAGTTATATAATTTTTTTTTCGAGCCGAACACGAGCGAACAAACTGTTGTTCGTGTTCGGCTCGTTTATATTTCGAGCTTAAAAATTTGTTGTTCGTGTTCGGCTCGTTTATATTTTGAGCTTAAAAATTTGTTCTTGTTCGGCTCGTTAGGCTTAACGAACGAGCCGAACACGAGCTGCTTAACTAGTCGAACACGAGCTGTTCACGAACAACGAGCCAAATTGACAGCCCTAATCTCGAGTGGCCTATGAGATGTAACAGCACCCGACAGTGATAAGCTCCACGAGGGGTGTAACTATTGCATGTGGTGTATGGGATGTATCAACACCCGACAGTGACAAGCTTCCCGAGAGGTGTGTAAACGATTGTCCTTCGCCCTACTACAAGTGTTAGCGCTCGGCAGCCACAAACTCCGCAAGGGGTGTCTAACTATCGCTTGAGAATTATGGGACGTATCGACACCTAACACGGATAAGCTTCGCAAGGGTTCATGAATGACTCTCCTGTGCCTTACTTCAAACTTTAGCACCCGACAGAGACAAGCTCCGTGAGGGGTGTCTAACTGTTGTCTGTGGCTTATGGGACGTATCAACTTTCGAAAGCGACAAGCTCCGTGAGGGGTGCATCAATGATAGTCAGGTGCCTTAACTATAACATTAATACCCTCCAACGACAAGCTCTACACAGAATCTACGATGACCTTATATGTGCAATACACGTGTACTCGACAGCAACTTATAACACTGAATTACTTGTATATTTTAACTCCTACATTCTAGCAAATAACAGACAAGAGAGAAACGGTCGGGATAATGAAACCCCCAACCTAAAAAATTTTCATATCTTACAACAATTCATTTGCAGGTTACAAGTAACAATCTGCTTAGCAACGAAATAAGAAGAAAAGAAGAATAAAAACATACAAAGCGGGACTACTCTAAACCTGGGCATTCGAGGACTCCCCAGAGTTTGCCCCCCTTGTCCCTTCGGTGCCAATCAGCTCCTGATAAGTGAATTCCTCCTCGCTCTCAGCACCTGAAAGAAGCTTCCCAAATTCCTCCATGTTTTTTCACATAAGGTCCACCGGCTTGTGCTTCGCAAACCTTTCGATCGCAAGGGTGGTACCAACTGCAACCCGGCAAGAAAGGCCCTCGACGTATGCCTCCCTGGTGACCATCGAAGACATTTTTTCTCTTAGCTCCTTTTTTTCCTTTAAAAGAGCCGCCACCTCTTCCTCATGTTGTTGGGCATCTATCTGCCGCTTCTCGAGGGGGAGCTTCAATTTCCCTTCTGTCATAGAGAGTTTTCGCTTTAACTTTCGAACCCTTGAGGAAGACCACCCGATGTCCTCCTCGGCTTCGTCCAAGAGAAGAACTTGGAAGTGTGAAGCCTACCAAGCTAGGGCATGAAAACAGTCGACTGATTTAAATGTCCCTTTATCCATCGACCTCAAGTTCCTCTCATAGGCACGAGATAATAACATGTCAATCAGAATATAAGACTACTCTACATTCAGTGGGATGTCCGGAAACCACACGATCTCGCTATCAATGAAAGCACAGTGACCGCTCATCCAGACACTGGTTCCATGATTAAGTGAGAATGACCATTCTAGCATAACCACCCCCTTTTGCATGGGAGGAGGGGGCAAGTCGACATCGAGGACATGAGCATTTCCTTCCCTCCGACGAGCGTCGCTCTGTTCGATCTGCGACCACTGGTCTCTCTTCAGAATCGGTCTCGATGGAGATTGGGCGATAGACGCAACTCACCTCACCATGTAGAGGTATGAACGAGCCCCCGCTCCACCAGTCGCTAGAACTCTTCTAGCCGACAAGCGCATCAATGGGACTCCAAATACAGGATGGCTAGGTGAACGAAAGGATTCCCCCCTCTCCCTTCCGAAGAACTTAGCAAATTACACAAAAGCCATGAAAATGCATTTCACACATGAACAAACAAGAAAATAAAAGATATCAGCCTTAATCATTCCCCTCGACCAACCTGATCAAGTCAGCCGACCTTGGTCTCTGCTGAACGAGGGAGGACTGCCTCTCCCCACTTCAAAGCCATCCTTTCGCCAGCAGCTCTCTCTCGAGCAACCTCCCTGTCGTCTGCCGGTCTCCACAGATCCTCGGGCATAGTATCTATCCCATCCAGACGAATCATTCGTTTCAATCACGTTGGGGTCAAGGAGCTGAAATAGAGAGGCGCTAGCCCTCAATCAACGCCTTATGACCCCGAACATTCCCAGGCAAGGTATTTATTTTCTTCACATCGCACTTCATAGGATAAGTGTGGATCCCTCATTCATCCGCCGTCGAGGTGATCAGGAACTTTGTCGTCCAGTCCTTCACTTTATTCTTTAACCCCATCATTTGAATCTTGACACCGGCGGCAAACTAAATGTAGTCATCATGACCAATCTAGAAGAAGAAGAAATTATTGAAGAGTTTGATCGACCACGAGATCTTCATCCTCCAACAGAAGAGCACACATATCATGATAGTGATGATTGAGTTTGAAAGGATTTGAGCAGGAATAATTTCATAGTGGTTGAAGATTGAACACAACTCTCAACAAAATGGTAGCCAAAGACCTATCTTAAAGTGATCATTGTAAAAGAGAATGTCAGGATAGAAGTCGTATGCGGCCCATTCATGGCTGCAAGTCGGTCGCAGGAAAATTATGGGAACTAGAACACAACGATCCTGGTTCGCCGTAGAAAGAACTGAAACCTATGTAGCAAGATTAAAATTGAACAACTCTTGAGAGTATTTCTGAACCCTGAAGTTTATAGCGTTAGAAAGAAAAGAAGGATGAAGAAACCCAGAGAAAGGAAGAAACGACAATGCCGCCAGATGGAAGAAGAGGAATGAGAAAAGAAAAGAAACAGGGGCCCTGGGCGATTGCGCGACCACACGTATATATACACATGAGAAAGGATGTCGGAAAGTCGAAACGCCGCAGATATGGCTGATGCGACAGAACTACATGTCATCCAAGTAAAGTCAACATTATCAAAAATAGAAAAAAAAAGTTATTTTATTTCATTCCTTATTTATTTATATACAAAAAGATAGGGGACGTCCCGTCAAACCCTCGGTTACAACTGAGTAAGGAAAAATTGGACTAAACAGTCTTTCTCGGCTTCGCCCGAGACAAACTCCCAATGGTGAAGTCGTTCATACTTAAAGTTGTCGTCCAGCCTAAAAAAGATCACTATGTTTTCCCCTAGCCTGAGCGGAGAAGACCTCTCAAAGGTCAACAACTTCAACACAAACACATAACTTCCATGTGATTATCAAGCATCTCCTCCCCGGAAAGCTGCAAGGTCCTCGAGCAGTCAAACAACTTTCCTCTATGCCTGGTCAACCCTCTCGAGAACCTCAAAAATCCTTTTATCACTGTCTCGCTAAGGGTACTCCATGAAATAGATAAAACGTTCCTCCATCTCAGCGACGAAGTATGAAGTCAGGAGACACATAGAGCCCTCTGGTCACCTCTTTCTCTCTTGTGACACCAGAGAAAACTTGATGGCTAATGCTCTGGCCTCTAGCACCCGAATCCCTAGCATCACACTCAACACCTTGCTCCGGTGTGCTCAGCTCTGCCATATATGCTCCACCTACGACAACCTGTCCCATATTCGTCCCCTCTATTGCAAGCTAGTCCACCGCTATCGCATCATCTTCAGGACCAACGTCGGTATCCGTCAATACAAAATTGACAATCAGGACCTCATTTCCTATAAAGCAAAATGTAAAAACCTATATGTGGTATAAGAGAAAATGTCCTCACCGATTTTTTCTGGTCCTTCACATTCAAAAGAGAAACCTCTCCTAATCGGCCGAAGCCATGTCTTGCCGCCTCCTCAGAACTCCTTTGGGGAACCACGAGCCTCGTAGCCACTTGGACGGGTAATCCTTCTCCCGTAGTAGGAACACTCACCCCTGGCGAGTGTCTGATAAGATGGCCTTCAGGAAAGCCTCTTACTTATCTTACAGCCATCTCCTGAGGAGGCCTACAACAAAACCAGAACAACTAGGCTGAGTCTCACGATCACCTGCTCCAGGATTGAACACAGCTCTCTTCCTACTTACCCATTCCACGGATACCTCACCCGTTGTTTTGCACTTTACGTTTAACTTACGAGCCTGCCCCAAACACCCTATTTAAACCCTATTTATGATGGTCTGGGCACAAATATCTAGGGAGGTCCTTTATTCCACAATAATATCATTTAAATATATCGACTGAATCAAAATTTGTTAGGCGATCAACAACATTCATTGATCGAATCGGCCCCCAAATTTATTGTATGCAAATAACTCTATAATTACCACAAAACACCCCTAAAAAGTTATTAATGATGAGGCTAATCCGTACTTTTATAGTATTGAAACTTAGGCCCATATATAGAAGTCTATATTATGAATAAATGACACATTTGGTCTGTCTACTACGGCTCTCTTTCTCTCTCCCTCTCTTAATCACTTTCTAATAGTATGTTTCATTCCTTGGGGTATGTTTTCCGGATATTTTTTGATCCAACAAATATGAAATATTTAGCTATTGATATGTAAATACCAAAAAAAATGAGTAATATTAATGTAAATGCTCCAAAAATAAAAGGAAAAAATTTAAAAAAATAATGATCACATAAAGTGAAATTTCATACAACTAAAATTAAAATGTACAAGACATTGGATTACCACCTTTCCGCAAGTCATTTATATTACATGCCGACGTAAATAGTAATGTTTCTTGTGCTTGTGCTCTGTATGTGATTATCCCCCACATATATGTGAATTAAGTGTATTATAGGATATATTAAGAATGCACTTCGATGAATACATCCTCAATATGCCCTAAAATATATCAAATTCCCGTCAATTCGCACGAACTTAATCACCATATAATATTTCTTTCTTTGAGATCGGCACTGTCGAACAAATTCATACCTTAATGATTTTATGGAGGAAGAATGGAGATTACTCTGTCAAACCAGATGAAAAGTTGGTCCCAAACTTGCTCATTTCCTCTTCAGAGAGCACCAAACCAACCTCCAATCCTCCTTCCTCCTCCCTGCTCTCAGCCAGCGATATGGCTCCCGTCTCAACAGTAGATGTAATCTCCACCTTCACCGGCCTCCCCCACCCAAAATCAACCTCGTAAACCCTCAGCTTCGGCGATCCAGCAACCGACAAAGGCCTGCTCTTCTTCACTTCCCCAGACCTATCTGTCGCTACAATTAATACCTCACCAATATCTCTCCCCTGCAACCAATCTATGCTCTTCCTAATCTCAATGGCCGCCAACTCCATCCCATTCTTTCCCACCATATCTCCAAAATTCAACTCCGCCATGAAAAACCCCAAGCAGTTCCCAAAGTAATTGCTTGGGATGGGCGGCCTCATCCTCGATCTCCAATCCACAGGGCTTCCGAAACGCTGGCTGATGACTCCGTCGTATCCCCGAGCTTTCACGAGGCATTTCCATACAAAAGCGCAGGTTACAACAAAAGCAGACATGTGAAACGATGGTGGCTTTGTCCCCTGTTCCATTGCCTTCGCTTGCACGCGCTCCTTCAGCCGCAAAATCTGATCTTCACCCAGAGTAAACGTAGCAGAGACATAACCGAGATCGGAAAGTGCCATGGTATCCTCCTTCTTCAAATGCTCTTCGCAGCACTCTTTGAACTGACGCATGTTCTCGAATAATTTACGACGTATCCCGCGGGTATCGATAATAATGGATCGATCGAGGAATGGAGGGTAGATGTCATCGAGGTTGGGTTCAGCAGCAGAGCGGCAGGCGGCGGCACACGAACGGATGAATCGCATTGATCCGGCTGCGTCGCACACAGCGTGGTTTATTGCAAAGCCTATGCAGAGACCTTGATTCGGGAAAAGCGTGATTTGAATCGAGATGGGCGGAAATTGGCCACCTGATGTCGACGACTTGGCTGGTTTGGGGACCAGAAGACGGAGGTTTTTGAGGCTTCGTGGATGGTGGCCGGATATGTTGCGGAAGTCGTCGCCAGTGAATTCGGAAAGGGTGATGTTGACTGAATCTCCTTCGGTGTAGACGATCTCGAATTGTTCGACGGAATCAGGAGAGGGGCGGATGGATCCGGCTAAAAGATAGTAGTGGCGGAGGGTGAGGGAGAGGGATTCAGTGAAGACTGGCAGTTTGCTATCTATGAAGTGGGAGATGGGTTGAGGAAAGTGGTAGAAGAAGAGCCTCTCTACCATCTGTGAGTTTTGGAGCCACATAATGTCGAGGAATGTGAGCGGCTGAGGAGGCTGCAATGGAAGAGACGGAGAGATTTGGATTTCGCGGAGGACTCTCACCGCAGCCATTGCAGAGGTTGTTGGGTTTTCGCGGCGCTCTAGACTTGTTGAATAAGCAGTTTCTCTGTACTTACTCCAACCAATCCTCGTAACTTTCACCATTATCACCCCCTTGTTTATTTTAAAAATAAAATCCTTTCGGAACTCTCTGAGTCTCTCTTGTGGGAGAGATTATTGCGTGCGGACACCGCACGGTGTCCGATCCCGGGCCAGACAAAAAGAGTTTTCATCGGCCGACATCATTACCCCCACCAGCAACCTCCCACTCCGGCAGTTGTCCTCTGTCACTTTTCAAAAGAACCCTTAAGAGATATGCACAATCCGGAACTTAACTATTATTTTTTAATTCTACACCTAGCCAATGTGGGACTATTTGTCCGTGGCATTCTTCTCCACCCAACCACGCTCACGCCTGACAGACAGTAATCTGTTCTGATGTCTTTTGTCACATCCCAAAAAAACCTTTAAGAGAGGTAGACAGCCCAGGACTTAAATACTGTTTTTCGGCCCTACACTTAGCCAATGTGGGACTATTTGTCTGTGACATCACGCTCTCTTTCTGTTCCGCTGCCACCTCTCCGCTACTCGCGACAACGACTTACATCAACATCCTTTGATTTTCGTCATCGAGGATTATCTTTTGAGGTACTGTTCGTCCGAGACATCACAAAGGCATGCATGTCGCGATTTTGTTTTGAGTTAATAATGTTGGCATTGTTTTGTGTGTTGTTGAAATTTAGGATTTTAATATGATGCTCAGACAAAAAAGTTTTCATCTTTTTCCACCGCCGACATCACCTCCCGCTCCGGCAGTAGCCCGTTCACCTCTTAAAGAGCCCTTGCCCAGAACTTAAATATTATTTTTCACCCTACACCTAGTCAATGTGGGACTATTTATCCATGACATTCTTCTCCATCCAATCACGTGATGCCATCGTCACGGATCGGCTCCACTGAGGGTCCCACTTGACCATGAAGAGTCCACACACCTGACATGCAGTAATCTGCTCTGATACCACTTGTCACCTCCAAAAAAACCCTTAAGAGAGGTGGACAGCCCAGGACTTAAATATTATTTTTCGGCTCTACACCTAACCAATATGGGACTATTTATTCGTGACACCACACTCTCTTTTCGTTTCACTCCCGCCTCTCCGCTACTCACGACAACGACTTACATCGACTTCCTTTGATTTTCTTCAACGAGGATTATCTTTTGAGGTACTGTTCATCCCAGACATCACAAAGGTGTGCATGTCGCGGTTTTGTTTTGAGTTAATAATGTTGGCATTGTTGTGTGTGTTGTTGAAATTTAGGATTTTAATATGATGCATGGAGATGTGCACTTAAAAATATGGATCCGTTCATGCTAAGCACAAATTATTATGGCCTATTGAGATAAATATAAGAAATTAAAATTTAAAAATAATCTATTATTTTTCCATCAAGTTATAAGTTTTTTATATTTAGTTTAAGAATTGTCACATTTAAATAATTTAATATTAGAACATATTATAAGATTGAAATTTGGCTTGATACTTGCTTAATTTTAATATAAATATATTATTATCATTACACGCACATGATTTTGATATTTTCATGAATTCTGGTTTGTTAATCTTAATTTCTTATTTTCTTAGCTTATGTACAATTTGTGTTTGACTATCCTTATGCATAAGCAACTTGATTTGGCTTTTTTGACAATAAGCCTGGTTATTGATATTCATTTGCAAAGAATCCTAGAGTGGCACACATAGAAATTCAAAACACCTTACGGTACTTCAAACTCACGTGCTTGACATTAGCGTTTTTGAACCCTAAGATAGCAAAACATAGAAATAGAATCATAGGGTCTCACAAATTGACTACTTCGTTGTCATCATGACTCCTCTACAATGATCAACGATTAGTTCCCTAGTTTCAAGCATGTAACATGCTCAAAGGTTAGGCACAATAAAAAACAAATCTAGTTTAGAAATCTTGTGTCGTGGTGATTGGGCGCGTGCTCATTTCATGGACTCGTTAGAGTAAATCTCTTGCTGACACCTATCATATTATGACTTTATGAGTCTGCATGTATTATAGTATTCTTTTTCAGAATATATAACATAGTTGCACACTTACACTTGCGCATACTTTCAGCCAGCTTCATTCTTCTTTTAGCCATTCTCTATATATGGCTGACCCCTTCCTATTATAAATGCGCTTAAATGGCTTGCTGGCATTCGTGACCCAAACATGATATTAGTCCAAACTCTCTATCTTCTATATCATATTGTGAAGATAAAATTAGGTCCTCTTTGTCATATGCAACCATGTTGTACATCTGAACATTTGATATAAATCTCTATTGTCTAGGGAGGATGGCTGGGCTTGCTTGAGCTTACGAGCTCAAGTAGTAAGTCCCATTCATTTCATCCCTCTTGTTTCTTCTCACCATTTAAAGGAGTCTTCTTTTTTACCCTCCCCATTTGTCGGATCCTTTCTCATCTACTGATAAGATTCACACTTTTTGAGTTCTCCCTCCCTACGGACTGAGGGAAACTCTCTCTTGGCCTCTTACTCCCTTGATATAGAGGAGAGTGTTGCTTTGAGTTCTCCCTCCCCCATACGGAGGGAAACTCTCTCTTCTAGCCTCTTTCTCCCTTGATACAAAGGAGTTGTCATCTCTTCTTTCACCTTAGCCTGCCCCAATGCTGAGGAGAGTTGTCACTTTGAGTTTTCCCTCCCTTATATGGAGGGAAACTCTCTTTTGACCTCTTCCTCTCCCAATTTGGAAAAGAGTTGTCAATTTGAGTTTCCCCTCCTCGATACGGGAAACAACTTTCTTTTTTGACTTCTTCCTGCCCCAATACAGAAGAGAATTGTCACAATTTGATCTCCCGCCCACAATATTGAGGAAAATCATTATTTAGCTTTTCTCACCCTATAATGAGGAATGATTGCATCCCTCCTTTTCCTCACTGTGTTGATCGGGGAGAATCTCCATATTTTTTTGTACCTCGTCACCTTGTGTTGAGTGGATACCTTGGGCAACTCGGTCATTTTTTATCATATTATAAGCCCCAATCCCATACACTCTACCTTTTTTGCCCGAGCCTTAAAGCCCTGGGTAGCTACTGTCAACTTTGACATACATCATCACATGCAGTGTTGTAAGCCTCATCCGGGCTTCTTCATCATATGAGAGTGGAGTATGAGTCTCTATTAACTTTGGACTAGGTTTGCACCCTTAGTATGCAAGGTCCTCCTAGATTAGACAACTCATGTATGCTAATAAGGATTCTCTAGCCACCCATACGACCTAGCAGGCTAAAGGCACTAACGACCCAAAATGATGAAATCACATGATCGTTATTGAGGTTGTCATACTTGTTAGGTTAGTCCTTCCTTTGTGTCCCTTTCTTGTATCTTTGAGCCCATCTCTTTTGATTTTCTTCACTTCTTAATTCCCATCCTCTATAGATCCCCATAGGACTTTTCTTACCTTCTCTTCACCTGACCCAAATCTTATTTGAATCAAATCCAATGAACACAAACATTAATTCTTTAATCGAGAGTATTTTCGAATGTGTTTAAGATGTAATTAACCTTTGAAGCTTGCTCCTTTGGGAAACCTCAACCCCAACATTTATAATAAACCCTGTTTGGACTCACTCTTTACAGAGGAAATCTCTAGAATATAAAACATATTTTTATTTCTTAGATTCTCACATGTCTATAGAGTTGATTGGTTTGAATATATATTAGGTTTGTTAGTCTAAATTTCATTTGTATATTATTTTCTAGATAAAATTTATGCATGAGAAAATATTTTGACCTATACATATAAGAATGTAATATGTTTGAGGATATTAGGATATGGAGCTATATATTATGAAATTATGAAAAGTTTTATTGATGGTGGTTTGTAACTTTGTATACCTTACATAATATAATATGTTAATTAGATTTGTAATCATCCTCAAGTTCATTGTTGAATTCTTGAATAACCCATGATAAGAGCATGACCCGATAACCTGCTGACATGGCCATGAATGAATTTGGTTAAGGTTCGTCCAAGCAAACCGTTTTGCCGACCTAGCTAAATTTGACACATAACATGGCTCCAAGTCGGCCTTCTTTTTATTTGCAATTAACCCTTAGGCCTATCTTCGCATACATCTACAGAAGACGACATGACACGATTGTAGGAAACGACATAGAAAAGAGAGCCCATGTGTGAGAAGAAAATGGGAGAGCTCTTGAGAGGAATACAAAGTTACAAGATGAAAGGGGCCCTGAAAGCTCAAGGAATCAAGCAAAAAGTTTCACTTATAATCTCAACTAATGTATTTACCAAGCGAACTAAAGGCAAAGTCAAGGTAAACCACACCATCCCATGCCCCCTTATTGGTGCATCTTCTCAAGCATTAAAGATTTGAAATTTTTTAAATTTTAAACTTTCTAATTTTTATTAAGTCTTTAATTAATAATATTTATTAATATTATGTATATGTTTTAGTCACATTCACTAGTTTAGATTTTACATTAGCACGAAAACCAAATTAGCATACCCCACTGACTGACAACAGTCAAAGTTCCATGACAAGATCAGTAAAATAGTTCAAATTTTATGAATCATTAATGTTATAATGTTACATAAAGAGGCTAAAACTCGACCTCTTTGGAGAAAAGAAGGATATTCAAGAAATTAGAACCAAGGGTTAGCAACAAACTCACCAAAAATCCTATTATAGTCAATCAAGTTCTTCATAGCAAACTTATTTTGACCTCATTTTTTTTAGAATTTATTTGTTCTCTCTGGAACTTATGTTCTAACCTTATGGTTTCTTAGAGGTTTTGGCTAGAAGATTAGTATTGAGACTCGTACTACTTCAACAATCTATTAATAAAATAAATAATATTTAAAAAAGAAAATTCTAACAAAAATAATAACACTTTTTAAAATAAAATTCATCATTGTTTTACACCATAAAAAATCCATTTAATTCACTTTAATTCAAAATAATAATCATAATTTTA